GAATTAGTTTTCTTCGGTGACTCCATAGCTTTAAGTCTATGGAAATGTCCAATCTCTTCTACAAATGCTCCGGATCCCTCTTCTTGCTTCCGCAGATGTTTTTTCCAAGAGAGCTTAGGAGGGAGTAGACAAGCATATGACTCATGTTTGTGCATCTCCTTTTTTCCCCAAAGCTGCTCCGGTCTCTTTCCTGCTTCTGTTTAACTGCTTTTCTTGGGATTCTAAGTTGGGAATTTCTTCGTAGTATCAGGGAAATTTTCGCCTCGTTTTCACATCCTGGATGTTTTTTGAAGACAAAAATCTTTCAGGAAACCTGGCTCCAAGTTTTGCAAAAACAAGGTGGTGACGTTTTCTGAATGCCACCACCTTTCAATTTCTATGAGCCGGTAGCAACAACGACAGCGGCTACGAATGCTTCCATCGACAGAGTCGTCTTTCAGATAGAACTGCTCTCAGGACAAATTAATGTTTTGACATATGAGGTAAGATTTAGCGAAGAAAAATTTTGTGGCAAGAATTTCAACAGCTTGGTGAATTTTTCAGGTTGACGGAGCAGTAGCGGAAATAGCAAAACGCGGTGAGGAGACGATCTCATCGATAAGTAACAACTTTAACACTGATACTATCAAAAATGTGGAAAGAATGTTGGTAAGCTTTTCTTCACAAGTTTAGATTTTCATTTTTGAAATTTAAAAGTTGAATTTCCAAACTTTTTCTACCTCTACTCATTATTCATTATTCTAAATTTTTCTACCAATTTCTACGGTCACCGTAAAGAGCTATCACGCTTTTTAGCCTAAAATTGCCCTAATTCACTAAAAATCTCTACAACTGTGCTTTAAATGCTTCTAATCGAATAACGCTATGCTTCCAAATAACACTTCAATGTAATTATTGATTCCTTCACTCAATGTGTTCCTGATTTTAGAGTGTCTCCTTTCAAAGAAAATGAAATAAGAGTAGTAAAATAGTTTTTTTTTTCAAAAAATTTGAAAAATGCCTATGCTGTTATGCTAACTTTTCGAGATAGAATAAGAATTATTTGATAAACAAATTTTCTGTTGATTTCTGTTATTGTTACTTGGCCGTAAATCTAGTGGCTGGTAGTGAAAAAATTCACTATTTTTCGTATTTTTT